ACCTGCACAGACCCATGGGCAGGATGGGGCCCTGGGGGGCGGGGGCGGCCTGGGAAGCCCAGGGGATTGGGGGTTGGGCCGTGCTCAGGGGTCACCCGTGGGGGGAGAGGCACATGGGGGGCGGTGTTTCACACAGCTGGCCAGGCCCCCCGCCTCCCTGTCCCTAACGCCTCCGGTGCCATTGCAGCCCGGCCTGCCCGCCCCGTGGGGCCAGCTGCGGGGCAGCCCCCTGCGCCGGGAGAAGGCCTTTATCCGCCCCTCCAGGAGGGAGCAGCAGGAGGCCGTGTGCAGACTGGCGGAGCTGCAGCTGGAGGGGGGGCGCAGGCACCGGCGCGACAAGGAGCGGCAGCTGCTGCGGGTGAGGTGGGGGGGCTGGGCCCTGCTGGGGGGGGGGACAGGGGGTGTCCTGCTCAGGGTACCCCCAGGGGGTGAGGCTGGGGTGTATCACTCCATTCTGGGCCCGGCCCCTGCGGCGTGGGGGTCAGAGAGCCCAGCTGCCCCCTGGCACTGCCCTGGGGGTGGGACGGGATCCTCGAGGCACAGACTGGGCCAGGCAGGGGTGCGACTCTGGGGCAGGCTGGCACCCCACCTGGCGCTGCGCCCTCTGCCCTGGCCTGTCCAGAGCTGGGGGACGGCTGGGTCCCACCCTGGCCTCTGGGCTTTCGCCAGCCCCATGGTGGCTCCGGGCCCCAGGAGTGCCCCGGGCTGCGCTGTGCGCCTGGAGAAGGGGACACACCTCACCCAGCAGGGTGGGCCCTCACCACGTGCCCCCAGCGCTGCCCCTCCCCGGTCTCTCTCGGGCTCGGGTTCAAGCCGCCCCCCCCTTCTCCCCCCAGTTCCAGGAGCGACTGTCCATCGCCAGGCACCGGTCAGTGGAGACTCTTCCGGAGAGACCCCAGCCCCCTGCGGAACCTCAGCTGCAGGCAAGGGCCTGTCTGCTGCCCATGGGGGGTCCCGCCCGGCATGGGGCCGGGGGGTGGTGCTCACCAGGGGGTGGGCGGAGGGATCCAACCCAGCATGGGGTGCAGGGGAAGGCAGTTGCCCGAGGGGATGATGGGGGGTGGAATCCAGCCCGGCGTGGGAGCAATAGGAGGCTGTTGCCCCTGGGGTGGGATCCAGCCCGGCATAGGGGGCAGGGCACAGATGCACCAGCAGAGTTGGCACCTCCCTAGGTGGGGCAGGGGCTGCTGAGACGGGACAGGGGGCTGCCTGGGGCTCACGGAGGTGGCCTGCCCCCCTGCCCCGCGCTCTCTGGGGCTCTGCTCCCCCATGCTTGAGGCCCTTGGCTGGCCGGAGAAGTGCCCCCACAGGCGGCTGGCAGTGCCTGGGGGGCAGGCTGGGTGGGGCAGGAGCCCGGGGCCAGCCCGGGCAGAATTGGCTCAGCATGGCCGGTTCCCCTGGCAGGAGGCCCGGG